TCTTGAATCAGTTTCAATCAGATATTGAACTGGATGGCATGATCTACCTCAGAACCACACCTCAGGTATGCTCACTGAACGTCAAAGTTTTTCAGTTCCAACTTCATTTTCAAGGGGCTTAAGAGGATACAAAAAAGTTATTCCAGACTTAACTCGTTTATGTTCAGCCAAGCATTTAATATTAATGCTCACTAATGTCCAGCATTAGTCTTCCTGAGTTAAGGACCACTTGATCCTTTGAGCTGATTTAACCTACAACACATGATTAATGACCACATTTATACTTCTTTTTCCAGAAATGCATGGAAAGGCTACAGATGAGGGGAAGAGAAGAGGAACAAGGAATTGAGCTTGAGTATTTGGAAAACCTCCACTATAAACACGAAACCTGGCTCCAGGAAAGGACTATGAGGTAGGCACCCATTTTCTGTAACAAGTTTCAACTTGTAGGCAAGGTTCTTCCAGCTTTATGCTAAAGTTGATAAAAAACAAGTTTAAGTCTAGCTTCACTCAGGCACACTTGGATTTATTTTTAGACTTACTTTAAGTTTTCAAAGATGCAACTTCATCTAATTTGAAACCTTTGTTAAGCATTAGCTCCAACGAGGAAGCTTTACAGCTGCAACTCCAGCAAGGATATGGATTTTGCTAATTGGAAGGGCACAGGAATAGGGCAGTTAAAATAGTGTTCAATGGCCAATCACAGAAGTCACTCACTAAGCAGCTTTGTGTTCCAGTGTATGGGGGGGGCAAGGTCCCAACTACCTTTACACTTGCAGGACCATATTCCAACCAAGTTTAGTTCATTTTGAAGCCAGGATTAATATTTAACCAGAAAGGCTTTTGGCAGACACTGTTACACACACAAGCAATCTAATCAGCAATTGAATGATCTCTGCACACCTTGCCCCAACTTCCTTATTCTTAACCAGCTTTCCCATCTAAGGGATCTCTTAACTTGAAAGCAGACTTCAGGTTTTCCCCTAGAGGAGCCCAAAACACTATAGTGACTGAGAAGCATTAGAATTCTAGGAAAAGTTCATTATCAGTCACATCTACTGTCCTAAGTTTGATGTAGAATTACCCAAACGCTTCAGGAGACAGAAGGCAGGGCATAGTGTGGACTTTCGGGAATGCTTATGTTGTGTAAGCATTCCAAACTTGTAAGCAAGCATTTCCTGTGTTTTTCATAGAATCACTTGAAGTCTGCAAGCACAAGCTAGAATGTTGTTCAGCACACTTACATTTCCACACTTAGAAGAATAACTACTGCTTGAAGAGAAAAATACATCCAGTTGCACAACTACTGCTCCCATCTGTTCTTAAAATGAAGCCAAAAATGCTCTTGCTTATCCTTAAGACATTTTAAATACCAGTCTTATAACCTGTAAAGAGGTCATTCCCATGCAAGGAAGCTTCAAAAGTGTATATTAATAAATGGATTACGTGGGGGAAGACAAAGGGTGATACTTTAAAAAAAATACTCACTCTTACAGAATCAATTCCTGGTGACTGATTCCGTGACAAAAAGAATGAGATAAAGGAAGCCAGAGAAAAAAACAAACTATCTTTTCCCCCCACTTGTACATTACTTGATGCTAAGAGCCCAGATATGTGAAATATATGGAAGTTGTGGTGATACCACGCTGACTGGGTTACACAAGAGCAATTAAGGACAAACTTGACTTGGGCTTTATTCTTAAGTCATGGCCATCAGCTTTAACATCTCAGGTACACGTGGTAATCTGACTAATGCTGCAACTAAAGCGCTGGAGTCATAAGCACAATAATTTATGCCGTGTTCTTTCATTTAACAGAGTTGATTTTGAGAACCTAAAAGAGATTCCTATTCTGGTTTTGGATGTTAATGAAGACTTTAAGAATGATGAGATTAAACAGGAGTACCTGATTGATAAGGTAAGTAGCAAATATTGTTTCTCTGGATCTGCTTTTCTTCTGTAGTTATCAATTTACATTCTTAAAATTTGTGACGAAATGCTTGTTTGGGGGTTGTACAAATCGCTCTCCTTCGAGATATTTCTGCCCCCTCACACAACACATCTGACAAAGGTCATGCATAGGGCTCAGTTTCCTGAAGAGAGTTCCAAATGCATGAAAGGAGACTTCCAAGTAGAGTTGGGAAGGAGAGTAAACAGCCATTTGAGGAAACAAGGTGGCAGTAAAGAGGTCACCTGAGTTAAAATGGTGTTTACCAGTTCCAAGGAAAGGCAAGCCTCAGGAAGTAAATGCTGGAGCAGTGTGTTGTGTGTCCAGGCCAGGGAAAAAAAAAAAAAATAACAAAAAAAAAAGAACCCAAAACTCCTTAAAAGCATGATGATGCGCTCTCCTAGCAAACCCTATAAGCCATTTCCTCTATCTTGTTCTGGGTCATCAATTTGAGATTACTGCAGAATGACTCCTTCATGCCAAACCTGATTCCCCCATTAAATAAATCTAAATAAACCAGGGAGGGGAGTGCTATTTCTCATATCCTCATGGAAACCAGCAATTAATGGCTTAGAGAGTTCTGCACAGACTACACTCAGACATGCCACCTTTAACCTTGCCCCTCTGAAAGGCCACCAGCATTTCAGGTCATGAATTAAAAATGTAAGGGCAAAACATCCCTGGATACTGTATAGTAACAAACCATTTGTTCTCAAAAAAAGGGAAAAGCCTGGTATTTCAGCTTTTAATGCATCAAATATTATATATACTTTTTTCTTCTTGACAGGTCAAGTCTTTCCTGGCTTCTTAAGAAGATGAAAATTAATTCGAACAAGTCCCTGAAGTTCAAGATTTAGACTTAACAATCAGTGCATTGACGAATTTACTTTAACCAAATGCACTGTGTAGCTTATTTTAAGGCAAGACTGAAATGTAAGATATCGTTTGGGTTTTTTTCCCCTGACTTGCGTGGGTTTTGATAGTTTTTTGTATAGCTAAAATGAACAAATATGGGGCACTTCGATAATGTTTTTTTTATTGTGTATTCTCTGCTGTTAAATAAAGATTTAAAAGTCCTACTGCCTATGAGCTGTCTGTCCCCGCGGGGGAGCTCAGTGGTTGTCAATGGCTGACACCCAGTAAACAGATAGCAGGCGCTGAGCGGGGTTGTTTTGCAATAACTGGCACGGGTTCACCATTTTAAGACGAGACTGTTATGGCGTCCGGAAAAACCTTTACTTTCAACTTCTGCTTAACCGTGCGGCCGTTCCCACCGGCCTTAACGCTACTAAAGGCCGGACGTTAGACCTGCAATAAACTGCAATTCGCGCTTATCTCGCTTACGATCTCACCCCCTCCCCTACTCCCCCCTCCCCGCACACGAATTCCCCCCCAGCCCAGCCCCTCCCGTCGCGGGGAGGGCGGGACAGCGACCCCGGAGAGCCCCCCCGGCCCGGCCCGGCCCCGCCCGCGCGGCGCACGCGGGGGGGGGGGGGGGGGGGAGCCGAGCTGCGCACGCGGCCAGGCCGAGGCCCCTCAGCGGCGCCGCCGCCATCGCGGGGCCTGCCCGGCACCTCCGCGAGGGACCGCCCGCCCCTCCCTCCCTCCCTCCCTCCCCACACCAATCCTTATCCCCCCCGCCGCCGCCGAGCCTTACCCAAGCCGGGGATCTCGCCCTCCGTCTCCTCGGTGTGACAAGGGTCCATCTCGGCCGCTCCTTCCCCGCAGGGGCCGCGAGAAGAACAAAGCTGGGCGGAGGTGGGGAGAGGAGGAAGGGGGTGGGAGGGCGCTCGGGCGCTACGCGCCAAACGGAAACAAAAAAAAAAAAAAAAAAAGAAAA